ATGTATGAAAACATCAGTGGAAAGAGCAGAAACAGGATGCCCATCACTAACTCCACGTTATGTACCATGCATTGGATGATGGCAGACCCATGTTGGATGACAAAAACTTCCAATTCCTAAATATTTTTCATTCCTTAAAATGATATATTGCTCTTCGCTTATAAACCATAATGGCCTCATACAAACATTGTTTTCCATCTACTTTCCAATCCCCTGCATTCCAGCTAACAACATTGACAGGCCAGTGCACTTAGTCAACAGCACTGCATTTGCAAAGCATACTTTTATTTTCTTTTCCTTTTTTCTTTTTCTCTCACTCTCTTTTTTTCCACCTCCCTCAGGAGACAGATACAAGAGCCCGCATTTTTAAATTCTAAGTGAAAAAAATTCTGCACTTAAACCATTTTTCATGCTGAAGTTCTGTATTCACTTCAGTAGTTGCGCTAAGTATAAAATAGAAGATCAAAGTGAAAGGGCCAGTAGAGCAAGGCGCAGCAGTAAGTCTGAGTTCACTTTACAGAGATGGTACTACATGACTCTGACCAACCCACACAAAAAAGCAGAGTTTAGCTGCCCTATGATCATGACATTACATGAAACATTTTAGCAGACCCTCGAGAACATCTAGAAGACGTGCAACCGAGTAAGAGTGCACTGATGAGAGTCAAAACATACATGGGAAAACATGAATGGTCAGACATTCCTACCTTGAATTGGCTTCACAGAGATTTGCTTTCTAAAAATATGAGACTATATTTCTCCAAACCAACAATTAATAGAAAAAGGAAAGAGAAAATAGAATGTGAAGCAAGGTGATTTTGTGCCTTCTCTTACCCCAAGGCAAGATCACCTTTACCCATGTCACCTTGACTAGTAGAATGGAGACAGGAATGCTGGACAGACTTTTATGAAGTATTTAATGAGAATAATGCAAATAATTGTGAATATTGGAAGAATAATTATGCATGCACAATTATTTTCTCATTTCAAAAGTAAAAAATCACCCAGTTTGTCATTGAATCCAGTTTCAAAAACATAAAGATTACCAGCAACTTTTTCCTGATTAATAAAAGAGCAGTCTGCAGTTTGTTATCAATTATTTTTACCTTATTTTGGACAAACCAAGAAACTGAGGCCTCTCTAATCTCCCACAATATGATTTGCCTAAAGGACAAGTATTCTTTTAGCTCTTTTTCCAACATCTTTTTTAAATGAGGCCACAGCTTTCCTACATCATGCTCTATACACACTCCAAATGTTAAGTCTCATCCAAGTCACCACCTCCCTGGTCTTGCTGGCATATCTTGGGATAACAGAACATAGACTAAGATACTTTATAGCCACAACTTTGCCAGAGGAATAGATGTTCTGCCACTGTCTTTTCTTTGGACACCACCCGTAAATCAAGCTCCCTCTACATATGGTATGGCTCCAGGAAAAATAAGCAATGGGTACCATGCAGAAATTAACTGAGAGGGGTGCGTTAGCTGATGTTAGTCAGATCAGGCTGACCTTTCCTGAAGAGGACTGATGCCAAAGTTGAGGCCAGTCCCTGAGAAAGTAATGCAGCCATGTCACCTGGTAGAATACTGCTGCAGAAAAATCTTCTTTTATGATGTCTATGACTCAGTCATTTAGCCTCCCTTCCGCTCACTACTATCACTTGTACAGATTAAAGCTCACTTGCAAAGCAGCACAGTTCCCCGTAGGTGTTGTGAGTGCTTTACCAAGTGACCCGGTGACACAGAGAAATTGCAAAGTGCTGAGAGCAGAGCAACCAGAGCAAGTCTGGGAAAGGGCAGAAGACAGGACGAGAGGCAAATTCTCCATCTATCCCTGGGGCACAGTTTAGTGAAGCAGTGAAGCCTCCACTTCTCTGGCCCTAGCAATATTCTAGGTATAAGTGGCATTAATTCCCTTTCAAGTTTTGTGCCTACCAACTTTGCGCTTGAAACATCTCTGTCAGGGTCATCCTTTGCCTCCCTGCTCAGGTGTTACAGTGGTTCTCTGTGAGGCAGCACTGAAGGACTCCTGGGATCAAACGGAGGAGAGGGGAAGCAGAAAATGACATCTAACCTTTTTCCCTCTTTCCTTTCTCTCCAACTTTTTTTATCCTGCTTTACCTTCTTGTGCTTACAGTGCCCTTCATTTCACTTCCCAGTTGGATATTTCCCTTCCCTACTGCCTGACATGAATTCAGTCTGTTGGCCTCCAAAGTAGAAACAAAATTAACTGCTCAAAATTCTAAGGATTACCTTGGAGCTCTGGGACTGTAGAAAATATCCTTTTCCAAAACAGTGCTTTCAATGAGACCCTCAGTCCTCTACCAGGAGTAGCAAATGTGTTAAAGTCTGGATACGGTGTTCACTGTAAAAGATAATTAAATCTGACTCTCAGCTAAATTCTCTCCATGGACCTGGAAATGAATAAATGTAGCATCAAAATTAAGTATTTGTTGTGTCTGCTCACCCTTTGTGCCACTTCTGTAAAGTAGTAGAAAGAGCCTGGTCTATTCCATGCAGTTTCACAGGATACAAGTAAGAATATGACATTAACTTTCACCAAAAGGCACAAACTACAGGGGGCTTTCAGGTCTTTCTAATGTTGAAGTTATTGGTAAATGCTACACCCATATGCAAAAGGCATACAAAGGCCCCATCACTGAGCCTGAAATTAAATCCAGGCTATTGAGTGGATTCTCTCTACTCAGACTCTATGCTACTCCTCTCAACCTCAGACAAGAGGTGGAGTGAAAAGAGGTTTGCAGAACAACTCTTCTGGCTTCAAAAAACTAATTAAGACCCTACTGCAAAATGGTCTTATTTGCTAGGGCTTATTTCTTGTAGGTGATGCCAAGTGTACTGTATGGTTGCTTTATAGCTGCAGTGCTGGTGCACTAAAGGAGGGATGGACATTTTGTGCTACAAAATGAAGGAGTGGGTTATACCCTGATTTCTTTCCTTACACTGCAGATTTCAAAAGTTAAGGTTTTTTTTTCCTGGAGAAACCTGGAGAATGAGAATAACACCTAGCTTATTAAAAAAAAAAAAAAGTAATTTTGTCTCTTGCTTTAGTCATATTGGGCCAGTACGTAAACATTTTAATATATAACTGAAATTTTTCCATCTTTTTTTTCCGTAGCTTTCCCTTCATATGTCTACACAGCTACACACAACAGAAGCATCATTCAGTGAATTTTACATCCTTTTAGGAATGCAAAGCATGTAAACAAATTGCATGCTCAGATTCTTTTTCTTTAAAATGTATTTTTGCAGAGTGAGTATCTTCAGGATAAAATTAATCTCTAAGCAGATCCTAAAAGAAACCATAGATAGAACTTTAATTGTGTTTCTATATTTAGTCAGTGCTGCAATACGTTCATGTGGCAACCAGCTTTATCATTATTCACAGAGTCACATACGTAACTCCGTGAAACCAGCTCACCAAGGATTAAAATTTAATATTAAATCATTATAGTTGTACTTCAGTCTATGCCTTCAGCTGGTGTCACTTCTGTGTGATACCAGTAGTTCCCCAGCCTGGCATGAACTATGGAATGATAACTGCAGCAAGTAGTGGAGAGTGGTGCCAAGGCTCCCATGTTGGTGCCAGCAGGGCTCCTTCAGGGTGTGGAATGCTTTGGGGACCTGCACTAGCCTTGTTTCATGATGTCACACTGTGCCACATTGACACTGCTGACTGCTTGGAGGCAGCCTGGGGATTTCTATCACAGTGCTGCACTGCTTCATGGAGTCATGATTCTACCGTGTACTATGACTCAAAAAAGCCAGGAGAGAATATCTGCATTGAAATATCTGGCTATATATATATGTATATGTATATGTAAAACATCAACAAGCCACCTTAAACTTGGTCATTTAAATGTGAAAAGCAAAACCAAGGAAATTAAAAATGTCAACAACACCAACTCCTGACACAAACAGATGCTTTCTTAATTAGAAATGTACATATTTGTAAATTGTTATTCTTTTCAGCTCTGAGAAAAAGCGCAAATATGTTAGCATCTGCCTCAATTTTAAGTGGGCTTTCTGGAGAGGTTTTGCATTCATAGCTTAATAATGAATTAGTTATGAATTAGTGGACTCCACACTGGTTATTTACAGTTGCAGCTTGAAGAAGTTGACCTTTCCCTTACCTGGAAATGCTCTTTTCTTTTGAGAAGTGCGTAAAGAGCTGCACTCTTCAACAAATCTAACCACATCTATGGACAAAAGAATCATCCACAGAAGATAATTTATCACCTGTACTTTCTTTGACTCAGAAATCTGCCATGACTTGATAAAGGCATGCAATAAATACATATTTCTCTCAGGTGTTAGACATACTTAATCTATACTTTCAATTAAAAACAAATTAATACCTTACCATTCAGTATTGCTTCTATTCCCCCATACTTAGATTTAAATCTGTGGAATCAAATTGCCTTTGTCCTAGAGAGGTAGAATTCATCCCTCCCAATTGAGAGTGTAGGCATCTAACATAGCCTAATCATCGAGTTGCTTTGCTCCCTCTATATTCAAAGGCCAGTGATGGAGCCAAGCCCTTCAGAAGGGAAACCATCTGAGCTGCTCATCTTGTAACAGAATGACTTCCCTTTGGGAGGATGCAGGATGACTGGTTAAAACAAACTGCTTAAACTCAGGGAAGATTAATCCTACCCAAATGGTTCAGAAACACCATGGAACCACTGATGTGTCTTAAGCTATTATTGACATCAACAGTCAAGAATATCCCATACTCCATAACTGCACGTTTATGCTGTTTAATGTTCATCTCGAGAGGCACTCAAAAGCTAAATTGCTCAGAAAAAACCAATACTGGTCAGCAAAAATGCCCCAGAAAAAGTAACATCTTTGCAACTGTAGTGGGTTTCTGTGGCTAGATTTTGGTAGCTGGTGAGGACTACAGGGGTGGCTTCTGTTAGAAGCTGCTGGGAAGTTTCCCCTGTCTGGTGGAGCCAATGCCAGCTGCCTCCAGGACAGGCTTCCTGCCGCTGGCCAAGGCCAAGCCAATCAGGGGTGATAGTAACACCTCTGTGATAACATATTTAAGATCAGAAAGTTATTGCACAGTGAAAAATTCCAACCAGGGAAGAGTGGAGTGAGAACATGGGAACAACAACATAGACACCAAGGTCAGTGCAGAAGGAGGGGCGGGAGGTGCTCCAGGCACCAGAGCTGAGGCCCTGCACCCTGAGGTGCAGACCATGGTGAGGCACCTGTGCCCCTGCAGCCCGTGGAGGACCATCGGGGTGCAGAGACCCAGCTGCAGCCCATGGAGAAGCCCATGCTGGAGCAGGTGGATGCATGAAGGAGGCTGTGACCCCATGGGAGACCCAGGATGGAGCAGGGTCCTGCCAGGGACCTGCAGCCCGTGCAGAGGGAAGCCTACGCTGGAGTAGGTTTTAGCCGGGTAGGACTTGTGGCCCCTGTGGGGGACCCATGTCAGTACAGCTCATCTGTGAAGGACTGCACCCCACGGACAAGTGACCCACGGGACAGCAGTTTTGTGGAGAATGTTGCCTGTGGGATGGACTCACACCAGAGAGGTCCATGAAGGACTGTCTCCCATGGGAGGGACCCCACAGGAGCAGGGGAAGGACTCCTTTCTCTGAGCAGCAGCAGAAACAACAACTGACCATAACCCCCATTCCTCATCTTCCTGCACCGCTGGAGAGGAGGAGGTAGAGTTTGGAAGGAAGGAGGGGTGGGGAGAAGGTGTTTTTAAGATTGTTTTACTTCTCACTCTTTTGCTCTGATCCTGTTAGTAATAAATTTAAGTAATATCCCCACTTTGAGTCTGTTTTGCCCGTGACGGTGATCAGTAAGTGACTTCTCCCAGCTCTTATCTCAACTCATGATTCCTTTGCCGTTTTTTTTCTCTCCTCTGTCCAGTTGCAGAGGGGAGGAAGAGAGCAGCTTTAGTGGGTACCTGGCATCTGGCCAGGGTCAACCCACTACAGCAACCACGAGGGCAAGCAGACATTAACACCAGACCTTTGGCACCTGTCCAGGTGTGGAGCATGCTTACCATGATGACAGATAAAAATCCACAAGTATGACAGGGCCCTTGACCACACTTGCAGGTTGAACTGCAATCACTATTGCTTTTCCTTTCAGTAAGTTAGCTTCTCAACAGTGTCCCGGCAGACAATCAAATCACTGTGTATATGATGCTTTAAGGGAGAGATCTGAAGCATCCAGGAGTTTACGAAAGTTAAAAAAACAACAAAGAAATTTGTTCTTCAATGGGCAAGGGAGGAACCATCTTCTGCTCATCCATATAGCCACCATGCTTCTTTATATAGAAAAATTCTTTTTATATCGAGTCACACCCAGGATGTTACAGCTATGGATAGCAGAAGACATCATGTATTTGATCCTATTTTTCATAGCTCTTGTCTTTCATAAGACAAGTGTTTATGGGATAAGATTTCTTACAATTAATTTTGGCCTTCAGGCTACTTGTAGTTGGGCTGCTGTTTTTAAGTTTGAGGTAAACAGTGCAAAATATTTTGTTGCCTAGATATTATTTTCTTTCCGAGCAGGAGCCAAATATAGCTGTATGGACTCTGCATATCAACTAACATTAGAATCAATTAACATGAATTCTCTTTAGTAATAAATTCTGGTGGCTAATAGCAATGGTTTGGGCTGGCTGACCAAGAGTTTCTCTGTGTTTCTTCCCCAAGTTAAAAGAAATGTAGAATCCAGCAATATATGTAAGCAGTTCCAGTTATTTTTCCAACAAAATTGTTTTTCCAGACTTTCACGTATTATAACCTGTCTTTTCACACAGCTGTTGAGATCTGCTTGGCAAAACAGAACAAAAAATCAAACAAGTAAACAAACAACAAAAAAAGAAAAGGGAATGAGAATATCCTAGTAAGGGAATTTTATTAGCTGTATAGTTTTCAACAGAAGCTGGCCAAAATTTAAAATTTAGGGAGGGATTAGCCATTTGCACATTCAACTTCATTATTTCTCTGAATTCTTCATGGTTAAGGTGTAGCTTATCCTTATTCCTGGTCTCCCTTGTGGGCCTGTTTTCCAAATCACGAGTAACTGTTTATAAGTGAGTTTCATTCAAATTTCTTCCCCCAATTTGCACTCTTAATTTGATCTAAAAATATTTTTAGTTGAAAGTGCTCTATAAAAGTCTCAGTCATAGAGAGTGTTGTGATTTAACCCCAGCTGGCAACTAAGCACCTCACAGTCACTCACCCCTGCACACCCCCAACAGGATGAGAAGAGGGAAAGTGAGAAAACTGAGGGGTTGAGATAAAGACAGTTTAATGGGACAGAAAAGAAAGAAAATAATAATAATGATGAAAGAGAATATATAAAACAAGTGATGCACAATGCAATTTCTCATCACTCAACAACTGGTGCCCAACCAGTTCCCAAGCATTGGCCCACAGTTAACTTTCTCCCCAGTTTATACATTAAGCATGATGTCACATAGCACAGAATATCCCTTTGGCCTGTTTGGGTCTGCTGTCCAGGCTGTGTCCCTTCCCAACTTCTTGTGCCCCTTCAGCCTTCTCACTGGTAGTGCATGAGAAGCTGAGAAGTCCTTGTCTTAGAATAAACACTGCTTAGCAACAACTAAAACATCAGTGTGCTATCAACACTATTCTCATACTGAATCCAAAACACAGCACTGTACCAGCTACTAGGACAAAAATTAACTCTATCCCAGCTGAAACCAGGACAGAGTGACTAGCATCCTCTTTCTTACATGTAAGATTGGGCTGTTTGAAATATCCTGATGCAAATCTCATTGTTTCCCTTTTGAAAGAGAGCAGAAACTGAATCTGTGGGAAATCCACCTTCCAAGTTGTTTTGGAGTCATAACATTTAGAAACCTAGACTGCTGCAGTCCTGGATAGGCAAGCAAAATGAAATTTCATTAGAATGTCATCAGATTATATTGTCTCCAAGTAACATTTTAAGTCTGAAAAATCGGAAATTCCTTCTTTAAAAAAAGTAACCCTCCCTCTCCCCTGCTCACTGTCAGCTCTAGCAATTTTCTTGGGCCTTTATATACCAGCTACAGAATTTCAGTGATGTTGGAAACCAGCCATTTATTCAAACAATTTTGCACATCAGAATTTTTCTAGTGCCTCATACAAATTTAGTTCTCATTCTATTACTGCTTAATTTTCTTAATAGCCTCTTATGATGGATATGTCAATGAAATTAAATTAATTCAGAGCACCTTTTGTTACTATTTCTCTAAAAGACTCAAGAACATTTATAGATCCTGTGATGTAGTAAAATGTACAGCTGGTTTGTTATTGAAATCAACAGCAAAAGAAATATAAACACAGTGATTTTCTGATAGTCTGACTTTTTATTAGAATTTTGTAATCTAGATATCTGACTTAAATCCTAGTCCTTGTCATGCTCTCCCATATACCAAGCACAGAACCCAAAGAGGCAGTACCTAAACACAGAACAATGGGTATATGAAGAGGATAATATGCACCTGACACCTTCTGTCACCAGTTTTGGGACGCCAATGGCATGAGAGAGGACATGAGCCCAAACACGTCAAATTAAGTGGGGCTACTTATATTCTGTCTATCCTCTTATGCCACCCCTTTAATAAACTGAGACTTCAACCATTTTGGAGCCAGATAATGGCTTCAGAGGAAGCTGAATTGACCAAGATGAACTCTGTGTGCACGTTTGCTATATACATACCCTTTTGACTGTGGGAATAACCTGGGAGGGACTTGCTGTACAGGCCAACCATGATTTCCTAACATCCAGCAAGCAAATGAAAAGGATAGTAGAGGGGCTGAGGCACCTCAGGCTTCAGCGAAAGAAATCTCCTTTGTACAGAAAATACCTTCTGCAGTTATCTATGGTCTGGAAGAAAAACCTCCTGCTTGTGTCAGAAGAGCTCAAATATGTTGGTGAATTGTTTTATCACAGATGTATCTCTTGACCTTTGAAATTACAAATAACTGAATCTTGCAATTAGGGAAGACAGTACCACCTCACCTACAACTGAGTGTTTTATAGCCCACATCAGATAAAAGTATTTTTAGATCAAATTGGAAGTGCAGTGAGAGCCTGAAGCTGATCAGAATCATAATGCAATGGAAAACCTTACACAGACACCTGTTTCAAAGTGATTTCTGGCTCAGTTGGGAGATCAAAGAGTGTCAGCTACTGCTGATAAACTCAGATAAGCCTCCCGAATTCTGTATGCTTTACAGATCCCAAACCTCTTAAAATGAGACATTTGGTTATTACAGTTTCTTTGGGGTCTCCTGAAATTAACTGACAAAATTCCATGGTGCAAAAAAGAGTATAGCTTGGGAATGCCTACTGCATTCCTTTTTTCTCAGACTAGCATGCTCCCCCTCACAGGTTCATCTCCCAAGTGCTCAGTGAAGTAAATTAAAGAGTAAATTGGATAGTGGTTCTTATTTTTATTTCCCCAAGAATTGGTGGAACAACAGCTAGAATACACACACAGATGGCTAGAATGAGTATAATCTTTCTGTGAAATAATTTTTCTCTCTCTTGTCTCTCTCTCTGTCTGTCACATATGTGTACACTATTTCCTCTTCTGATGACAAGACTGACCAGGGTGCTCATCAACCGCATCGCCAATATTGACAATGACAAATCCCTTCCGCAGCTCAGGAGAACCTTAAATAAATTCTCCCAAGGCACTAGCAGGCGTTCTCCTCCTTGCCCTGTCACTCATGGTGAAGGCTGAAAGGCTGATTAGAAATAATGCAGGGGCATTCTGGAATGGAAAAAGTCTCTTTGATGGGGAATAAGTCAAGACTATAAGGCGTATTTAATTCCTTCTCTTTCCTCCTTCAGTTTTAATTAGGATTAAAATGTCTCTGCTAGACATTTTGGGATTACTTTCATTTTCTTACACCATGTACGAGATTATCTGCTTCACATTAGCCTGAAAAATACTGGAGAATTAACAACTGGAAACAAAACTGTTGGAAGGCAAACACATCCCAGAAAAATCCATAACTCCCTTCACTTCCCCAACCTCTCCAGAACACATGCACATCAAAAGTTTGTGGCAAAAAACCAACTCAACATCCACATCCTTTCCCACAAACATATTGCTGTTTAATTGTAATAGGTCTCCATTTCTGGGGCAAATGACAAGCAAAATTGTTGGCAAGAAATAGAAGCTTGGCTGGTCAAGGCCTGTCAGGAGTTTATTCAGCACTTCAAAGAATTAGGTGCGTTGCCTCTCGATAACATCTCATGTTTTATAAATACAACAGAAAAAATAAAACAAAAATCAGGTCACCACAAAGAACCAAGTCCAACCTCAACCCAAAGCTCACAGAGTTTTTCCTTGCACAGCCATTCAGATAACTCCTTTCTCCCTGCTACCCTCACATTTTCTGTTCCTCTCCTAACAGATTCTGCTCAGGCATTGGTTCTCCTCACTTATGTAGATCCAGGACATCATTTAAGACCCAAAACTTTGAGCCATGGCCTTGTAATAGCAAGCAGCATTATTGGACTATAGCAACAAACAGGATAAAGCCTAGAGGGGTTGTGGTGTAAGCCACCAGCAGCCATGAGCACATCACACAGTAGGTGTGTTACAGCACTAGAGCTACAATGAAACAGAAGTGTTCCCCTTCAAAAAGGGAAAGGAATAAGGAATAACTTGGAGGCAAGTCTATGGTTGCATAAGAGAAGAAAGGAGGATTTTATTATAAACCCGTAGGAATGACATTTCGGTTTTGACAGCCTTCTGGGTATAACTGCCCGATGCTGACAGCACCTTCAATTAACTCTAGGAGAATACAAGACTGCACATGATGTTAATATTTACCTTTAGGATCTTTTAATCTGCTACAATTATACAAATGTCCACAGTAGGATATGTTGCCATGAGGGACTCTGTAAAGAAGGTTGGGACTCTGACTCCAACCAGCCTTGTACACCGCATGGATTGGATGCCTGACTGTGCAGCATCCCCTCCAAAGCACGGGCGATTCCATATATCCCAGTCAGCCAAGACATGCATATCTTGTCCTGTCTGAAGGGGCATATGTTCACCAGGCAGGACTCAATCAATAGGTAGAAGTTATATTAAGGGAAGCGTTGCTGGTGGATTTCAGCAGGATGAATGCCTGGAGGCAGTCAGTATAATGATGGCTATGAAGCAGCATAGACAGACACAATTCTTTAGTCCTCTCAAAGAGAGAGGGCTCCAAAGATATTTGAGACACCTTCACACTTGAGGGTATTCAATAAACTTGTTTAATGAGATGAGACCAGGCACAACAGGTTTATAGTATTTGATTATATGCTTTGATGCAAGATACTAAACCAAATGGAGAAATGAGTCTACTCCAATGTGACAGGTTACATGTTCCTCTAGATTTATCATTTTAATAAGAAAGATTAACTTTTCAAAGCACTTCGTTTAGATTTTGTCATGATGACGGATGATGCTTCTGTTGATTTCATAACAAATTTTGCATTTAAAAAGCATTTGATAATCTTTTGTGCTGACTCTGGAGCTATACATCTACCTATCTAAGCTAATTTTTGGGGAGATGCAGCCCCAAGAACACTCATACAATTATTTTTAAAATATATCCCCACATCTCTGGGCACACTGGATCTGCTGGTTAGATCGTCTCCCTTCTTGTGAAGCTCAGGTCCAAGTCTTTCTGTGAGGAACATCTCAGAACCAGCAGAAGGAAGGGGGGAGGGAATATTCAGTGTTTACCTTTCCAGGTAAAGAGTAGTAAGCTTTTTAATTGATAAAACCTCCATTACAAGAACACACAGTATATGTTATTACTGTTGGATTTTAAAATCCAACTTGCTTTTATTCAGGAGGATTTTGCTCCTTGACAAAAAAATCACACCGTCTGCTTTTTTTTTTCCCCAGTAAGCAAACATTAAAATTGTTTGCAAGTGCATAGTTTTTTAAAATATTGCACAAGACTCAAAACTTGAAGACTGAAGACAGAAAAGATTATGAGACAGTGAAGGAAGGTGTCTTAAGTTAGGAGAGAGTATAATCTAGCCTCTACAAAAATATTAATAGTAATTAATATTTATACAACAGAGGTGGATTCCCTTGGGTATTTTCCTAATTGTAAATGAACCTGTTAAGCAGAAATATAGATTCTGCACTGTTGATCCCATTTGGCCTGAAAAATCCCAGTACAGCTACACAACAAGTCTTTGATTGCTCACTCTAGCTGATATTGGCAAACGCTCAAGCACTGAAAAACCCAAACAAGATGCTTTTTGATCTTTCAACACGTGTTTGCCACAGGTGTCTATCTCTGATATGTTCCCAGTAAAAAACTCACTAGCCTAAATGCTAGCAGGGGCAGTCTGTTTGGAAGCTTCCGGCACACTGGCTGTTCTCAGGATGGAAACTTTTCAGTTGCAAACTTGTGCCAGTACTTCTTAAAAATACCCAAGTGGTCACGGATATCTGTGTCCCATGTTGAGCTCTGTTGTCCCTAGGTCCTCCTCCTAGCTAAGGGCATCATTAACAAGACATATACCGTGGAATTCAGAGACCTGGAGGAAAGCAACTTGCCAAAAGGTTGCTGAATAGAGGGGCTGTTGAATGAACAAAATCTCTCAAGAAATATCTGCTCTCATGTCATTGCTCCCCAGTGGCAGATCGCTGCTACAGCTCTTTATATCCTGTGTTTCTGCAAGGCCAGATGCAGGAAAGTTATATCAATTTGACCTGAAGCTCTTCTTTAGAAGGATCATACTTGACTCACCTTACAATGAAAGAAGCTAGTAATTATGTGTTAGGATGTTTTTAATCCATTGTTCTTTGTATATTTTAAAAAAAGTGTGAAGCTATTCTCTATGACCAAACCATAATTCAGA